CACACACACACACACACACACACACACACACACACACACACACACACGAGAGAGAGAGACAGAGAGACAGAGAGAGAGAGACAGAGAGGCAGACAGACAGACAGAAAGGTTCAGGGAAGCTTGGAAAGGAGGGAATGTGTAATTACCCCAGAAGCAATGAATAACTACAAGAAAACATTTTCTGGACCCAGCAGGCCAGTCACATAAGAGCTCACAGCATCTACAAAGCCTGGGCAAGCCCACACTAGACCAAATTCTAGCAATGGAGAGGTGAGCTGGGCACAGGCTCTCACCCCTGATCATGAAATTATTAGAAAATGCTAGCTGCTGGGAAGGAGAGTTTTCGTTAAGACTGTAGCCACTGGTAAGGCAGCTGCTCTCCAATGGAAGAACACACCCAAATAGACAAGAGTCCCAGATCCTTCATCTGGCGAAGGACGGCGATACAGACGGAGACCCACATTGGAGCACCGGACTGAGCCCCCCAAGGTCCAAATGAGGAGCAGAAGGAGGAAGAACATGAAAAACGAAATCAGGACTGCGAGGGATGCTATCTCCCACTGATACAAGGGAACGGATCTAATGAGAGTTTACCAAGGCCAGTTGGACTGGGACTGAACGAGGACGTGATCTAACCAGATTCTCGGAATTTGGCCGGATTCTCTGAATGTGGCTGGCCCGAAGTCTTTCTGAAAAGCCATTGACTATGATACTGGGACCTGTTTCCTCTGCATATTCTGGATTTTGGGGATCCAGTCTGTTTGGATTCTCACCTTCCTGGACTTGGAGGGAGGGGGGAGGAACTTGAACTTCCCACAGGGCAGGAAACCCTGACTGCCCTAAGGGACGAAGAGGGAGGAGGAGAGGGAGTGGGGGGAGTGGGAGGGTGTTGGGAAGAGGGGCGGAAATGGAAACTTTTATAATTTAATAAAATTTACTTTAAAAAAAACTGATCTTGAAGGATTTTAAAAGGAGAAAGATGACTGGGAAGGAGAGGATCTGGAAAGAGTGTGGTGACCACGAATATGATCAAACACATTATATTGAACTCGCTATATATATATTTTGGAGATAAGGTCTCACTACGTAGCCTTTGCTGTCCTGGAGCTGGCTATGTAGATCAGACTGGCCTGAACTCCGAGAACCACTCGCTTCAAAGGAATCATTTTTAATAAAAAGAAATGCACTATATCATCATTATCTTTTGTCACATCCTTGTACAGTAAAACACTACGGCTTACTTCTATCTCTGTCAATCATCTATGTTTTGACCCGGAGCTCAATACCTGTCAGTCAATCTCTCTGGCCATCTTCCTTCCCAGCTTTCCTCCAATCTTTGCTAATCACCCTCTGCCAACTTCTATGACATCAATTCGAGTTCTACATATGAATGGGAATCTCATGGTACTTTCTTTTGTATGCTTGACTTACACTTAACGTAACAAATCCAAGTTTATCATTTTTATGACTGAACAGTATTCCACACATGAGGTATTTGCGCCACCTTTCTTTATCCATTCCTAGCACTGTAAGTTTTTTTGGCACACTAATTTCATTCCCTTCATATGCCTGAAGTGGGATTGAGGAAGCTCAGTACTGTTCTCCATATGGCTGTACTGATTTACTTTCCCATCAACTGTATTTGTGATGCTTTCTGCAGGTGGACAGTGGCTGCCTAGTCTTCACATTGGGTCGAAGAGCACTGGGCCCGGCATTCTGGAAGTGACCCCAGTGAATTTTGTCCCCTCTTCAGCTCTCAAAGTGCCTTAAGAAAGGGTTTCCTCCAGGCTTACCTGGAGCAATGCTGCGGCAGGTTCCCCACACTTCTTCTCCAGTTTTGTAATGGTCTTCTGGAGGATGTAGAGGTGCTTCCGAACCCAGACTGCGTTCGCCTTCAGTTTGCTCACCTTCTGTCTCCCCAGGTGCCCAAGTTTCTGTAGATGCATCTCCTCATTACCATTCAGCAAGTTGTACCTTTTCTCATTTACTAATTCAACCTTATCCTATAACTCTGCTTTCCTTCCAGGAGTAGACACAGTCAGCTAAGGCCATGTTTCTGTATGAAACAGGGTGCCCTTTTAATAGAACCGCCATGAGGCAGGAAGTGCTGGCAGCACACTGCGATTCCAGTATTTGGGAGGTGGGCACAAGAGGCAGGAAGATCATGAGTTCAGGCCAGTCAGGACTACAAAGTGAGACTTGAAATGTGATCCATTGTTTAATATGATAAACTTAAAGTAAGCATTTGTCCATGTAATCTGTTTACTCAGATTAACAAACATGGCACCCCAAACACACCCATTTTCTTTCTGGTGTGACATTTTGTTCAGAAGTTCAAATGATAAGTTAGGGCACAGTATCCCTTTAATTCCAGCACTCAGGGACAGAGGCAGGTAGGTGATTCTGTCAGTTCAAGGCCTGTCTACAAAGTAAGTTCCCGGCCAGCTAGGGCTACAGAGTGAGACACTGTCTCACAAATATTCTTTTGGTTTTGTTTTTAAAGAGAGGATCTCATTGCATAGCCCTGGCTGCTCTGTAACTCACTCTGTAGACCAGGTTGACCTCGAACTCGCAGAGACCTGCCTGCCTCTGCCTCCCAAGTGTGCCACCATGCCTGGCTACTCAAAAGCAAATTTTTAAATTTATACTTTCATCAATAATGAGTGAGGATGCTTACACAATTAGGCTCCTGATAACTGGTTTTCTTTTACTTTTGGTTTTTCAAGACACGGTTTCTCTGTAGCTTTTTGAGCCTGTCCTGGAACTTGCTTTGTAGAGCAGGCTGGCCTCGAACTCAGAGCTCTTTCTGTCTCTGCCTCCCAAATGCTGGGATTAAAGGAGGGCAACACCACCACTTGACCTGTTGTTTTTTTTTTTAATCCCCGAAAATGTTATCGGGTCCCCCCTAATCTCATCAGCACATGGTTGTATTAATTAGGAAAAAAACCAACATTAGATTTTTATTTCTCATCGGGCAACTTGTTTCTGTCTTGGAGAATTCTTCACTGACACACAGAGTCACGCTCTCCTTGAACGGCATTCTCTAGTACAGCTGCCTCCTGGCTCATGATGCAAGGCTCCTGGAGAAGGCTGTAGGTTACATGTAATGTCCTGTTGCCATTAAGGAGCACAATGGTATTTACGGATGGCTTTAAAACATCCAGGGCCCCATCTAAGGGCTCTCTGTAGATTATCTCAGTCAAAACTCACAGCAGTGTTATGAATTAGAGGCCATTGCCATTTCCGTCTCACGGCCAAAAGACATTGGGTTAGACATCGCGCTGCACAGGCCCAAGGCTACCTAATAGCTGGTAACTACTAGAACTCAAATAAGAGCCCCAGGAACCTGGCTTCTGAGGTTAACCCTCAGTGTGGCTCTGGGCAGAAACAATATTAGCGCTGTCTTGGCCATGGACCATGGACGCAAGTATGTTAGCAGTGTAATATGAGATAATGATGACATACAATAACACACAGGTCTATTTTAGCTTCCTTGCTTGTCTATGTGTGTGTGTGTGTGTATGTTTGGACAGAGGCATATAAAAGAATTGCAAGTATGTACACACATACACTCTGCCCGCATGTGGCTGTCACTGGATTGTTTATTTGGGAACGGATACACTGCTTCGGTATTACTTCAAGAGTATTCTCTTACCTGTAGCATTTTCTGGGACTTGAGACTGAACGCCTCACTTAGCACCCTCAGTAGGTTCTGATGAGCTCCTTTCACATCCAGGTCAAAGGTGCAGTCTGACCGGTTCAGAAAGCGCCGCTCCATCTTTTCAGCTAGTAACAGGAATCTCATCTTATACTCAGCCTTGATTATCTCTTTAAACCTCTGCTCTTCTTCCTTTCTCAAATGCAGATGTTGCAGATTTCAGGTTAAACAGGATAAACTATTTGTGAATCCCCTTCTTTTGCCAGGACACAACCACAAAGGAGATCCCATTTAGATTCACCAGTATATAAACAAAATCATAAACTCAACACCCTTATCAACAACTGTGTCTGACTCTTGATCTAGGGAATCCGGTGTCCACTTCTGACCTCCTCTGGCACCAAACTTACTTTCTCAAATGTATTTGTAAATGAATACAAACCTTAAAATACTTAAATATGATAAGGCTAAAAATAAATCTTAAAGAAATTAGCCTTCTTTTCTTTATGGATTCCAAATACTTTGCTCTGTCACCTTTTTCTTTTTCTTTCCAAGACAGGGTTTCTCTGTAGCTTAGGAGCCTGTCCTGGAACTAGCTCTTGCAGACCAGATTGCCTCTGCTTCCTGTGTGCTGGGATTAAAGGTGTATGCCACCACCTCCCAGCTCTGCCATCTTTTTTTAGTTTGTTGATATTGTATTACCTCATTTCCACCATTATTGATAGGTTCCCTCTCCCCAACATCAGGATAAACCTCACCTGAAGCATCATCACTCGCTCTTGTTCATCAGTCAGGTAGCATTTAAGTACTTCCAGCTTCGCCCGCAGCGTAACCAGTGTTTCCCGGAATAACTCCTACAGAGAAATAGATCACAGAATTGCAGGTAAGTTTCTTGTGTGAGAACAGGGAGGGATTCCCTTTTACCCCCTACCCTCCCCCAAAGAGGGTTTCTCTGTGTAGCCCTGGCTGTCCTGGAACTCACAGAGATCCGAGATCCGCTGTCTCTGTCCCCTAATGCTGAGGTTAAAGGCGTGCACCACCCCCCCCTGCTGATCTGAGGATTCTTATGGGGGGGTCGTGGAGACGGAGGACACTAAAACAATATTAGTAGCATCAACCATGGATTTTCTTTGAACTTAATGTAGAAAGCGTAGTTTATTGTGATATTTCTTAATAACTCCCAGGGATTGTTTCTGGAATGCCAGTATATCTGTTCAATCAATCAGTCAATCAATCAACCAACCAATCAGTCACCAAGTCATTCATTCATTCAGTTATTCAGGAGGCAGTCAGACTCCTTTAGATTTCCCTTACCCTGTAATACTCAGCAGCCTCTTGTAGCCCATATATCACATGCTGCTTGTGCTCTAGACACTGGACACATTTGCTGCAAACTGTGATTTGGTCATCGTCACAGAAGAGCCGCAGCGGCTGAAGGTGTGTTCCACAGAGGGCCTCCTCTGCAATGCTGGGTAGTAACCACGGTTTGGGCATCTGGGACTCCTGTTCAGTGCCGCTAGATGAATACCGGCCTGCTTGTTCCCGATGAGGACCTCTTCCCTGCTGATGAACAGGAGGAGACAAGTTGATGTGTCAAGCCGAAGCAGGCCCACTTGGTAACCTCGGGCACGACACTGGAGCAGAATCAGACTAGTTTTTCAGTCGCCACTTGCTGAGGGAGGAAGGAGACAGAGTTATGGCAGTATTCCTGGTCAGATAGGCTCAGGTCTTGCGACAATTCAGCAGTGGGTTTGCAGGCTAACTGGAAGCAACAACAGAGCCCATTTCTCTACAAGTCAACAGAAGGCAATGGCGAATACAATGGTGAGGGACGTAAGATCTCAACTGAAGCAAAGTCACATACTAGTGCAGATTATACACCTGGACACCGCAGTACTCACTACCCAGCACCGAGAGAGCGACAGACTCCCCGGGCACTGAGTGACTCGAAAAGGAGAGGCACCTAGGTTCCAAGTGTCAGGAGCCATACAGGCGCACTTAGCCTGAGAGTTGCTTCTCTGAAGACTCTGCAACAATGTTGTCCCAGCTCACCTGACCCTAGGACTCATAAAAGCGAAACCACACACACATACACAAGCAAGTGCAAACAAAATATGACAGTGACAGATACTTGTCACAATCTAGAACCCACAGGGTACTAACCTCTATCCTTTGGTCCCCAGCGAGATGAGGTCATAGGTAGGAACAACCACGCCAAGGTATCTTTTTCTTCTTGAATTAATGTTTAAGATGCAATATTTTTATGTTTAAGCATACTATTTTATAATGTTAAGTATACTACACATTAGGTATATATTTTGTATATATGTATTTATTGTTGTTGTTTTGTTTTTTGAGACAGCGTTTCTCTGTTTAGCCCTGACTGTGCTAGAACTTCTACAGTTATGTACAGGTACCTGTATCCCACCCCCCACACACACACAATCAAGAGTAATGAATCTTGCAGGTGAAATGGTGCACAATTTGGAGCCCAGCGCAGCAGAAACAGGCAGATATCCAGGAGTTTGAGGGCATCCTGGTCTACATAGTAGGTTCCAGAATAGACAGTGCTACATAGTGAAACCCTGTCTCAAACAACTAACAAACACATACTTAAACATACTTAAATTTCTTAAATATTGTGCTTAGCTGTGTTTTTTTTTCTTTTTTTTTTCTTGGAGAAAGGCATGCACCACCATGCCCAGTCATCTATATCTTAAAGCAGAGGTTGTCTAAAGGGTCTCAGGCATGATGGCTCATTCTGTAAACTCCACCTCCTGGAGGCTGGGGTGGGAGTGCTGAGTTCACAGACAAACTCTGTTCACATAGTGTCTTTTGTTTTTGTTTTTGTTTTTCGAGACAGGGTTTCTCTGTAGCTTTGAATCCTGTCCTTGAACTAGCTCTTGTAGATCAGGCTAGCCTTGAACTCAAAGAGATTCACCTGCCTCTGCCTCCCGAGGGCTGGGATTAAAGGCGTGCACCACCACCTCCTGGTGGCACAAAGTGTCTTAAACAAACAAACAAACAAACAAAACCTAGGCTGGGAGGTGGTGGAGCCCTTGGGAAGCAGAGACAGGTGGATCTTTGTAAGTTCGAGGCCAGCCTGGTCTACAAGAACTAGTTCCAGGACAGGCTCCAAAGTCACAGAAAAACTGTCTCGAAACACCAAAACCAAACCAAACCAACCAACCAAACAAATAAAACTTACCTTTTTTTGATGGCTATTAAAAGGGCTATGACTCATTAAGCAGCAGCAAGCATTACCAGTAGCAAGCAGTCCCAGTAGTTGTTACTGCACATATTGTATAGTCCTAGCTTCAGAAAAATTTATTTTACTTAACAATACACAAGGGAGCCAGGCGGTGGTGGCGCACACCTTTAATCCCAGCCCTCGGGAGGCAGAGGCAGGTTTGAGTTCAAGGCTAGCCTGATCTACAAGAGCTAGTTCCAGGACAGACTCCAAAGCTACAGAGAAACCCTGTCTCGGAAAAATAAAATAAAATAAAATACACAAGGGGTAGGAATGTAGTCCAGTCACAAGTGCTTGCTTAGTGTGTATGCCCTGGGTTGAATTTTATCACCTCAGGGAGAGGATAGCCTTCTGTTTTCTTAAAGAGTAAATTCTTACACTGATGAGACCAAGCCCATCCATAATCTGAACTGTTGCAGGATTATTTGGTCACAGCAAATATTTCTTATTTACTGGATTGTGCTATTTACTGGAAAAACATGTTTCTAACTGTGGTGTGGCTCAGCCCTAGCACACACCTTCTATCCAAGAACTTTCTACTTCAATATTGGAAACAGGATTCAATAAAGTCAACCATACGGCAAGAGGCAGAGCAAACAAGCAGCTGACAGGAAGTGAACATAGGATTATTAAGGAAAACCAGTGTAAGAAGGAGTCAGGAGGAGAGGGAGACAGACAGACACACAGAGGAAGTAGAAGGGACGTACATTTTGTTTGAGGAGGCTTCTGGGATGTAGGTAGAGGGGGAAGCTAAGCTGCATACTTTCCCTGCCTCTGAGCTAGCAGGCTTTTACCTCGGCATCTAGCTCCCAAGTCTTTATTGGTAAAAGCGGAAGATTGAGATTTTGATAATAATAGCATTTGACACTCAGGAACCTTGACCTAGGAGGATTGCCTTGAATTTGAAACCAGTTTGGGCTATAGAGTGAGATCTCGCCTCAAAAATAATAAAATCAGAGTATAACAGCTAATAAATCAATCTTTAAATAATAATAAAAACAAACTATTAAATCTCTAAACATAGCGGGGCGGTGGGGGCACACTCCTTTAATCCCAATACTTGGGAGGCAGAAACAGGCCTCTGACACCAGCATGATAAATAATTCCAGGACAACTAGGAATACGCAGAGAAATCCTGTCTTTAGAAACAACAACACCAAAAAACCAAAAACCAGACTAAGCCAAGCCTCTAAGTTTACAGTAGAATATTCTTGGTGACAAATGGAAACTTCATATATAAATATTAATATCTTATATGGAAACACAGTGGCTGCTTAAAGAAAATATATTTCTGTAATATGTTTGAGGTGAAAGTTGTATCAGATACCATGTAGTTTTGTTTAGTTTTTAACATAGTCTCAAGTAGTTTAAGCTGGTATCGTATAGATTCTCCATAAAGAGGAGATAAACCGTGATCCTTCTTCATCACTGTGCCCTCATCTTCTGGGTGTTGGAATTTCAGGTATGGAGCAGCATCCCAAACATTATTTTCCTTGATTTTTTTTTTTTTGGTCTAGATTTGTTAATAACATCCTTACTTTTCTGTTTATTTATTTTGCTTTGAGTCAAGGTCTCCGTCTGCAGCCCAGGCTTTTCTGAAACTGGCTGTGTCTGGGCTCACACTCGGCAGTCCATTTCCTGCTTCCGGAAGCCATCACACCGGGTGGAGTTGGATTTTTTTCCTTTGGCCACTAGTTCACAAATAACAACACAGAGACTGATTAATTTTGAAAGCTTGGCCTTAGCTTAGACTTGTTTATAGCTTGTTCTTATTGATAATTCCTAGCCCATCTTGCCTAAATCCCTCCTCCTTTTTCTCTCTGCCTGGAAGTCGCGCCTAACCTCCTGCTTAGCTATTTGATATTCACCTTTTTATTACATCAGTCACAGCAATACACCTTCATGAAGTGTCCAAGTATCCCACACCCACAACAACCAGGCTAACTTCTGTCTTCTTTAACTTTTAAAGAATTGAAAGTGGACTGGTGGTGCACCCTCACAAACGTGGCATGCAGAGGCAGGAAGTTGAAATGTTAGAAGCAGGAATTTGAAATATCCTTTGGAAGGACTGCAAACCGAGAGGCTATTTACACATGGCTAATGTAAGCTGTTTCACAATTATGCATGGAGAAAAGAATTCAAATGATAAAACAGTTGGGCGAGAAGCACAGGACTTAAGCCATTTGGGAGGCCAGGCCAGGATCACAAAATGAGGCTTACTTCAGTCACAGATCCAAGATCAACCTGTGTGGGATTTTCTATCAAAATGACACAAACAGACAAAAAACAGGGCTGGGGACTGTCTCGGTGGTAGGACATTTACCTAGCATGTGTGAGACTCTGGATTTAAACCCTATATAGATAAGTAAATGATTAAAATTTAACGCAAGAATGCAAAAAAAAAAAAATCATCCGATAAGATTCCAGGCAAGGAAGCAGTGACTTGCAAATTGTCTTTTAATATTCTTCCCTTTTTCCAACTGCAAACCTGTGTGAGGTCAGATTTGAAACTCAAAACCAAACCCATCCATTGTTAATGATTGGATGCCTGGCAGACACCAGGAAACAACAGGAAACAACTTTTCTAATAAGCCACAAGTGCAATAGCCTTGCAAAACAGAAAAACCCTACACTATTCTCAAAACAAAAACAAAGTAACTGGGAGGTGGTGGTGCGCACCTTTAAACTCAGCACTTGGGAAGCAGAGGCAGGTGGATGTCTGTGAGTTCAAGGTCAACCTAGTCCAAAGAATGAGTTCCAGGACAGGCCCAAAAGCTACAGAGCAACCCTGTCTTAAAAAACAAACAAGCAAACAAACAAAAAACTAAAACCAAACCAAAATAAAAAAAAATCAAAAACAAAATGACTAAGGCTTGTAGCTCCAGCATTCAGTAAGCTGGGGCAGGAGGACCAGGAATTTAAGACAGCCTGTGCTAACATAAAATTCTGTCATTATGGGGCTGGAGAAATGGCTCAGAGGTTAAGAGCACTGGCAGCTTTTCCAGAGGTCCTGAGTTCAATTCCCAGCAACCACATGATGACTCACAACCATCTATGAGATATGGTGGCCTCTTCAGGCATGGAGGTGTATATGTAGGAGGCACGTGGTATACGTAATAAATAAGTCTTATAAAAAAATTCTGTCATTAATCATTGGGAATTTTGGGCTCCAAGAGTATATTCCCCTAAAAGGGATTGCTGACAATACATTTATGATTTCAGTAACTTTGTCAGACTCCTAGCCACAAGGGCTATACAAACATGCATTCCAAGCAATGTAGGGGACGGTGTCAAACTTTTGGCTAGGTGAGAAATCTTATCACTACATACTTTTTATTTTTATTATGTCTTCAAATGATAAAGGGCCCATTCAGTTCTCTGATTCACTTTCTATCAGATTTTGAATCAGTTTTAAAGAGATGCTTATTTATTTACTTCACAGTAGCCTGGAGAAGTAGGTCATGCTTGTAATCTCAGTACTTGAGAGGTGGGTGGAGGTGGAAGGATTGCCACCAGTCTGAGACCAGTCAGCTTGATTATGTAGAGAGACCCAGTTTGGAAAAAAAAATGTAGTAACATGAATTGCAAATGTGTCTTCTCTACTCATAATGTGCTCAGGCCTCAAAGATCAAAGATCAGAGTTTCTCTGAGTTTACCAGCCTACTGCAGAGATTCAAGACACTCAGATTTCCTGGTCCCTTCATGAGATGTGGGGACTCTGTCCTTCCTCCCAGCTTTAAAGATCCTGTTAGCTGGTGGCACTCAGGCCTGACTGGCTCTGGGTCTGTCTCTCTGTGTAGCCTTGGCTTTCCTGGGACGTGCTCTGAAGACCAGGCTGGTGTGGAACTGCTAGATCTTTCTTTGTTTCCCAAGTGCTGGGATTAAGTGTGCTACCAAATCCATCCTTAAAAACAGTACTTTGGGGTGCAGAGGAAGGAGGCACGATAAAAATCTTCTACCAATCAGCAAAATGTTAAAAGCAAAATCGAAGGCCAGGAAAAAATATTAACTTTTAAAAACAAAACCAAGACATTCATGCGTACTATGTTTATCTCCCCCGATGCTTTGTTTTCCTTTCTTCTACCTTCCTCTCACATATTTCCTTTTTATTGCATCTGTCTGTCTGTCTATCTATCATCACTGCCATCTATCAATCAATCACCGATCTACCAAGCTTCCAAGTACACTAAAATTAAGGGATTTGACTAGGCAGGACTTGTAATTCCATCTCTTGGGAGGCTAAAGCAGGGGGTATTGCTGTGAGTTCAATAGGGGCCCCAGTCCAAAGCAAGACCACGTCTCATTAAAAAAAAAAAAGGCTAGTCATGGTGGCCCAAAAATAACCTGGGGCCTGGGGTTGAAGTCAAAACTGGGCTTCCTATGGAGGTTCGAGTCCCAGTACCCACAAGTTGGCTCAGCCACCCAGTTCTAGGGGGATCCAACACCCTCTTTCTTGCCTTGGCCTTGACTGACACAAGGCATTCACGCGCTGCCCAGATATTCATGCAGATGAAGCCCCCATCCACATGAAATAACTAAGAAATAATAAGCTGCACCGGTGTGATGGCTCAGTGTGTGAAAGCAGTTTTTGCCAAGTCTGAGGATGACTGAATTCGATCCACAAGACCCATGGATTGGAAGGAGAGAACCGACGACGACGCCTGCAAACCTAACTCCAAGAGTACTTGCCCGATTTCCACCGAGCCCCCAAGCTCACACATGCTCACACAAAATAACATTGTAGGAGTTGAAAATAGTTCAAGGAAGTGACACATCATAGAAGACTCACCCCTCTCTGCTGAAATCTTAAACACAGGCAACGGAGACCAGAGATTTCTGTCGGCTTTGAACTCAGTCGCTCTAGAGTCTCAGGTTACGCTGCCATTTTGGAATCAGACCTTCATTGTTAACCTCGTGGACTGGTGCTGAAGGAGATGCAGAAGCCCTTAAACTAATTTCCTGGCCCCACCTCCAGGACTCTGGAACCCTGGTAGGGGAAGTCAATTTACATTTCTAAAGAGTTCCTAGAAAATTCCAGCCACCACTGACCAAAGGGGATAACGCTGGAGAGGCTGAGGCAGGAGGATTGCTGCAAATTTGAAGGGAGCCAAAGCTACGAAGTGAGTTCCAGGTCAGCTTGGATCACAGAGAGAGATTCTGGGAATTTTATTAAGCAATTAAAAAAAAAAGGCCGAGCGGTGGTGTGCGTTCGAAGTCAGCCTGGTCTACAGAGTGAGTTCCGGGACAGGCTCCAAAGCTACAGAGAGAGACACCGTTTCAAAAAAAATAAAATAAAATAAAAAGGAAAGAGTGGTGGTGGTTCACGCCTTTAATCCCAGCACTCAGGAGGCAGAGACAGGACAATCTCCGTGAATTCGAGAACAGCCTTGGCTACATAATGAGTTCTGTCCAGTCCTTAAATCAGGCTCCCAAGCAGCAGACTGAAGACAGTATTTTAGGATGTGGTTTTGGTCCCACCTGAGCTTGGTTTTGTCAGGAAACAAATCCAAAGTTTCTGAGAGGCCCTTCACAGTTAGAGGACCGCTTCTGATCACCTCTGCCACCTCCTAATGGGTCTGGCCACAACCTGCAGCCTATCCTATGTCAGACAGAGTCGCGGTTTCAGTGGCTGGGTTGCTCACTCATATAACCCTATAAAAAAAACCAATAAATCTTTGCAGCTGGCACTGTTCGCTAATAATCCAACATGCCTTTCATTTTTCATCAAAACCCCTTCCTTCCAGCCGGGCAGTGGTGGTGCCTGCGTGTGTGCATTTAATCCCGGCTCTTGGGGAGGCAGAGGCTCTGTGAGTTCAAGGCCAGCCTGGTCTACAAAGCGAGTTTGGGGACAGCCAGGACTGTTTCACAGAGAAATCATGTCTCTAAAAACCAGGAGTGAAACAAGCAAACAACAACAGCAAAAACCCTTCGTCCGTTCCTTCCACAGAGATTGGCTGTGTTCAATAAATTTCTTACTGTGTGTGTTTACAAGGTGGAGAAAAGCCAGAGCTACCTAGAGACCCTGTTTCAATACAAAGCAAAACAACAAAAAAGACATTGCAAAATTTACAGGAGAATGGAGAGAAGTGGAAAGAATTATCCTGAGGTGACACAGGGTCAGAAATGCTCAATGATCTCTCTCAGGCACAGATGGTAGCTTCTAATTGTGACTTATATTTATTTATGCTGGGGCAATTGTGTCTGGGACCAGGAAAGCAGAGGCAAACAGAGGCTTTAGGGTGGGATACAGCTATGGAATGTAAAAGTGGAAATGGGAATACCAGGGTGGAAGGGTTTAATGGGTGGGTCCCTCAGGGAGATTGGGAAGAGACTGGGGGTGGGGAGGTCAACTAAAGCTAAATATATATTTTTAATATCATAAGAAAACTGGCAACTTTGTAAGGTAATTAAATTCAGTTTAAAAACTGTAAGACAACCTGGACTCATTAGTGACTAAATAAAAAAACCTGTAAGATAAAACAAAGAAGTATTTTTAAGACAGAGTCTCCTGTATGTAGCGACAGTTTACAGGAACACAACCATTAAACTATGCTCACGATCCCCTTAGCCTCTTATCTTAAGTGCTATGTACATTTTATGAGAATAATGACTCACTCTGTAGCAGGTCTCCAGAATGTTTGCTGTAGGGAAGGGCCACTGCCTTTCGTGTCGAATAACTGTCTGTCTCAGGACTTTATCCCAAATAGGAGGTGTGGGGACATTCCCAGCTAGTCTGCATCGGGGCCCAATGAAGAGAAAGATCTGTCTGGTTTCCTAATCTTACAGTTCTATCTTTCGGAGGGAATTATAGTGTACACCAATCCTTGCTAAGCCAAGGAGAGAGGTGTTTAATTTTATCTATTTTATTATTTTAAAGCCGTTGACATGACAACCAGCGCATCCTTCTACCTGGCTTTCTGATCTTCCAGTAAGTTTTTTAAAGACAGGGTTTCTCTGTAACTTTGGAGCCTGTCCTGGAACTAACTCTTTTAGACCAGGCTGTCCTCTAACTCACAGAGATCCTTCAGCCTCCGCCTGCCAATTCTGGGATTAAAAGCCTGCACCACCACCGCCCAGGTACAGACAAGGTTTAATCCTAAGTATCTAGCCCAGCCCTTCTTTTATCTCAAGATTCTTCACACCCACACTCTCTTCCCAAACTGAATTCCCCAGCCTTTCTCAGATAAACCACCTTCGCATTCCTTAGTTATTTATTTATCTATTTATTTGTTTATTTTGAGTAGACCCCATCCCTTCTAAGCCTTGGCATATTTTTTTTTTTTGGACTGAGTCTCACTTTCTAGCACAGCACCCCACCCACTACCCCAAAGTGCTCAGGTGAGGTTACAGCATCATTCAAATCCTCCCTGTTTCCTTATTCTACATAGCACAGTAGCTTCTTCCTTGTTCACAGGAAGCCCTGCTTTATGACCAACTCAGAGAGTAAATACTTGCCAAGCACAGTGCTCAGGGTCTGACCACAATCACAGCTAAACGTAGCCTTAAAAGTGCTAATGATTGAAAACTAAAAGTTGTGACCCAGTTCTGGAAACGGTGCATGCTTGTGTGCTGCTTATACATTCTTTCCTTTTTTTTTTTTTATCTGTTTGATTTCTCGAGACAGGGTTTCTCTGTGTAGCTTTGGAGCCTGTCCTAGAACTTGCTGGCTCTGTAGATGAGGCTAGCCTAGAACTCACAGAGTGCCGCCTGCCTGTGCCTTCCCAGTGCTGGAATTGAAGGTGTGAGCCACACTACCTGGCTTCTTTTTCTTTTTTTCAAGACAGCCTTTTGCTGTTTATCGAAAGTTCACCTCAAACTTCTGGCAATCCTCCTGCCTCAGCTTCCCTAGTGCTGGAATCTATAGCTGTGCAGCACCATGCCGGGAAAGGAAGAGCTGGCTTCCATATGGCTCATTTTCCCTAAGATGTTCCTGTGCGTTTGAAGCAGGAATTCAGAATAGGAACAATTGCTCAGCACTAACAGTACTTATAGCTCTGGCAAGTCCCAGAGTTCAGTGCACAGTAATTCATGTAAGACTGCTTCTAATTGCCTTTAACTCCAGACCAAGGGAACTGATGCCCTCTAGTGGCCTCCAGGATACCTGCGCTTATGTGCACACAACTCTGCCTTTGTCTTACGAGCACAAAGCTCTGCTATTGTCTTCTGAAACGAGTTTTCACTGAATAGCCGTGGCTGGTCTGGAACTTGCTGTGTAAACAAGTCTGGTCTCGAACTTAGAGATCCACTTTCCTCTGTCTCCAAGTGCTTTATTTAAAGGCATTCACCACCACAACCAAGTAAAATATTAATTAACAAATTAACCAAGAAAAAGAAACAGGTGTTTAGGTTTCATTAGCTTCCTTCATATCTGTTTGTTGTTTCCTATCTCTAAGGGACCCAGATAGCACATCCAACTTTGCCGTTTAAAAAGGTTGGCATTGAAGAATGGAGCATTTGGGCTGGTAGGATGGCTCAGCTGGCAAAGGCTCTAGCAGCTCAGAGTTTGTTCCCCAAAATAAGCTTCAAGGAAAGAGCCAGCTCCATAGAGTTTCTGACCTCAAATGTGCACACCTATGTATACTTTCTATGCTCACACAATAATAACAAATTAATTTCTTTTTGGTTCTTCAAGACAGGGTTTCTCTGTGTAGCTTTGGAGCCTGTCCTGAAACTCTCTCTGTAGACCAGGCTGGCCTCAAACTCACAAAGATCTGCCTGCCTCTGCCTCCCGAGTGCTGGGATTAAAGGCATACGCCACTACTGCCAGGCTAATAAATTAATTTTTAAAAGAATAAAACATATGGCTGAGCAGAGAGATATGTCAGTCACTCGATTAGTCAGGGTTCTCTAGAACACTGGTTCTCAACCTTCCTAATGCTGTGACTCTTTAATACAGTTCCTCATGTTGTGGTGACCCAGGCATAAAATTATTTTCATTGCTACTTCACAACTATAATTTTGCCACTGTTAGGAATCATAGTGTAAATGTCCATGTTTTCCGATGGTCTCAGGCAACCCCTGTGAAAGGGTGGTTTGACCCCCAAAGGGACCACAATTCACAGATTGAAAACTGCTGCTTTAGAGTAACAGAACATATAGAATGAATCTCTTTATATATAGAAAGAGGATATATTAGGGTGACTTATAGGCTATGGTCCAGCTAATTAAACAATGGCTGTCTATGAATGGAAGGTCCAAGGATCCAGTTTAGTCTACGAGGCTGAATGTTTCAGCTGGTCCTCAGTATATGCCAGAATTCTGAAGAAGTAGGCTCTACTATCAGTGAAGAAAAAACTTCCTTCTTCCATGTCCTTATACATACTTCCAGAAGAAGGTGTGGCCAAAAATAGAGTTGGTTTTCCCAGCTCAAAAGATCTGGATTAAAGATGTGCCTTTCTGGGCTGGAGAGATGACTCAGAAGCTAAAAGAACTAGCTGTTCTTCCAGAGTTCAATTCCCAGCAACCACATGGTGGCTCAAAAGCATGTGTAATGAGATCTGGTGCCCTCTTTTGGCCTTCAGGAATACATGCAGGCAGAATACTGTATACATACTAAATAAATATTTTTTTTTTTTTAACAAAAAGGTGTGTCTTTACATCTCAAAAATCTGGATAAAAAGTTGCTCTTCCAGGCAGGTGGTGGTGGCACACGCCTTTAATCCCAGCACTCAGGAGGCATAGACAGGTATATCTTTGTGAGTTTGAGGTCAGCCTGGTCTAC